GCCCCCCCCCCCCCCCCCCTGGATAATGTGTATGCACGCAGACACGTATGTATACGCACGCCGCACATTGGTCCCAAATATCGAAAAGCTAGTCAAAGTCGAAAAATAAAGTTTCTGTTTAGAGAATTTAAAGTGTTAGGTTGTGTGGATAAAATAATATTTTAAATGTCAAATAGAATAGTCAAGAAGGGTCGACCGTTTATACCTGTGTTTATAATCCAGTTTTGAAGTGACCTTTATACGAGTAGCATCTGGCGCCCACAAAGAGAAAAAGTAAAAATGCATTTTCACGAGTGCCGCTCAAACTAGCGGTTTCAGGGACAATTTTATACATAAAAAAAAAAAAGAGTAAGAAACATTGAATTTGGCATTTGAACGACAAATTTTACATGTTGTTTGTATTTTTCGCGTGTTACTTGCAGTATTAACGCTCTGAATTAAACAGGTATTACCAGCTAAACACGAAACCCTCAGGGAAAGTTACATTTTGGTTGTATTTAGCAAATTTGTGACGTTTCATATGTATAGATTCATAAAAGGTCCTGTAAGCATTTAAAAGTAACGTTTTATTATATTTGCGTTATTCCATGGAATGTGTCAGTGCAACGTTGCATTTTCGCCTTAAATCTATCATTTGGAAGACAAAAGAAATATTTCGTGACATTGAAATACGTTTTGTGTAAAACATTTTCTATGCAACTTATAAAAACATTACCTCAATGTTACATATACTTTCTGGAATATTCATTTTACCACTCATGAGCAGTCCCGCCACTAGATGAAAGTAGGAGTGTAGACACATGGTTTCTAGTTTAAATCCTTTTTTTAAAAACTAATTTGTGACCATTTTTCAAAAATTATTGAATTTAAAACGCCAAAGCAGTTCGCGCGTCACCTGTAATGCGCGATATCCTCTCGAGTCTGACACATAGCCACCGAACACAAGAGCATATTATGTAGTCTTTTTAAGTCACTGATTTCAAATCTGAAATAAAAAATGTGCGATTCAAAATGGCGGATCCAATATGGAGGACAAAAATTTTTTTAAATCCGTACGTGAAAATCTCGATATCTGATGGTTTTGCAAGTCTCTGATTACTACTGTAATCACAATTGTTGAATTGAAAGTAGCAGATCCAATGGCGGTAAATAGTAAATGTACACGGAATTTTAGAGTTACCCTTATTATATTTTTGTTTAGCCGGAAAAAATTAATAAAAAACAATTACTTTCGGAAAAAACTGTTTTTGCGATTATTTAAAAAATGGAGAGTAATGGATAAAAAAGGGCAACGTAGTCGCTTCAGTGCATCAAAATCCTGGAAACATCTTTCAAAGTTCAAAGCACAAGACCCCCCCTAAATTTTGTCGGCCTGTGTAATTTCTCAATAATCAACTTTAACTCTTACCATATAAACGTTTTTATAGTACCTGTTTAGTGTAAATGGGGGTCATTCATGTTCGGCGTATTTTTTTAAATGGATTAAGTGGTTCAAAAAATACTTAAAAATTCATGTAGCTTCCTTAACTATTCTAAATGAAGGATTTATATATAATTTAACAAATCTATTTGTTTAAATATTTTATTTTTGTAAATATGTAAACACAAATGTGAGTAATGGTATGTCCAACAATTTCTAACTTTTGATCAAATTAACGAAATCTAATAATTAAAAATGGAAAATAAAGTTTAAAATTCATAATTTAATAAAAAAAATATATGCCAATAAATTTTTTTAAATTTAAATACTTAAGTTCGGGACATGAAATTTTATAATTTCGAAATTTATGAAAAGAAGCGTTCGTTTGAAAAATTGACATTTAACTTTAAAAAATTCATTTTTTATTCAAAATCTGTAATCTTATATACTTTTGTAAATAAATAAATATATACGAAATGACATTGTAAGAGAACGAAGAAATCATAACATCTTTTCTGCAGAGCGATTTATCATTTTTATTCTAAGATAACACTGAATAAAAATGTTTTCGTTATATACATATATATGTGTTTTACTTATAAAAATAGTCAAGAAACATAGTCACGAATAAAATTGTTTTCTTATTTGTACGACAAATATGCGGTGCATGTAAATAGGGGTCATTTGTGTCCGCGGTCGATTTTGGATATCCGCTGCTCAGCAAGAAAATGTTCACTGCCGGGATTTCAGGTATCTTCCCCCACAAGTTTTTTAGAAGCAGAACAGCGCGCTCGTATTCATCTGTGTTTCAAAATATTCATAACTTTAAAAATCGCCTGGACACAAATGATCCTTGTTTACACGATAAGGGTTAATATCTCAGTTTTCGGGGCAGAGCCACGCTTATTTCTACGAGATTTTTTTGTTTCATGCAAAAACGCATCAATAAGCCTATTTTTATGGATTTTTGAGATGTAACTAAACTGCATAATTATCTTTGATGCTTTTAAACATTCCCACAGCCTAATAATAATTATTATATCTATTATCCATTATCCCGTAAATGCTCCTTGGAAACGTCGATAATAACTAATAATATACGACTTAACATAATATTCTCTAAGAAAAAAACATGTGTCCCTTGCACATAATTCATGATGGAGGAACCCAACCACCGAATGCTGTTTCAAGTTCTTTAGCCACCGCAAAGCACAGATGGTCATTGTATGGAGCTGCAACCACCTTTAAAGAGAAGGTGAATTTTAAGAATTTTCAATATTTTTATGATTTGTACGAACAATTCAAGTTTTAAAGATAACTAAAAACAAAAAAAAGATATATACTTTCTTATCATATTTTAAATAAATCGATTCAATAAAGAATATATATTATTTGAAATCTAAAATCTTTGACCATTCATTGGCGTTTCTCTATCACATTTACTTTCTTTTAAGTAAAGAATAAATTTTAAAGTAACATTCCATAAAAACCAAAAAAAAAAATAGATTAGTTTGCAAACGATTTTAGCGTATCGATACGCACATCGCCCATTCCTAGAATATTGACATTCGAATAATGGTGGGAATTGCTGAAAAATGACGAACCAATCAAAATTAGCTGTTGCTCGTGTCGCGACTCTGATTAGAGGGTCTCTAGTGTAATACTATAGGATTGCCATAGAAAATGAATTTTGAAATTCTCTTTTTAAGGTTTTCAAGGTACTTATGATCAAAGTTAAATAAGCACTGTTAAATTTTAACAATATTAAGTGAAAATAGATCGGGAAATGTTTAACAAATGAGTGAAGAGGACCATGTTCGATCAAGGCGGTTTTAGTGTCTAATTATATATTAAAAGTTAAAAAATTATAAGTAATACTTAATAAAATAAATAATATAAGAATTATAATTTAATAGTAATAATGAATTTAATATTGGTTTCTCTGAAATACTATTCATAAAATGTCAGAATAATGGTTTAAACTTAAAAACAGGCACTGAAAAAATATTTTAAAATATTTAAAAATTGTGGGAAAAGATTTAAAATTTGAGACTTTTTTGTATTTTTCCTTGACGTTTTCCACAATTAATTTAAATTTTTATGATTTTTTAAAAGTCTATAGCAACCCTGGATATATAGTCTCACGACTAAATGATTAGCACAATAGAAACAAAATTCTGAACTATAAATATTCAAAATATATAGTAAATATAGAATTTAAATGTGAATTTATAAAAGTCATTGTGTGTGTGTGTGTGTGTGTGTGTGTGTGTGTGTGTGTGTGGGTGGGGGGTGTGCGTGCGTGCGTGCGTGCGTGTGTGTGTGTAAAAGTCTCACCTGAATACCGACTGGCAAGCCCTGTTTATCTAAGCCCAGTGGCACTTGGCATGTTGGGAATCTCAAAACATTAAACAGACACCAGTAGCCAAAGTTGAAGGGTCTCAGAAATGCAGAATAATGATAACTAGCAGAAAACGGTGCCGAAGGATAAAACAATACTCCATTATCACTCAATTTCTCCTACGGAATGATTTCCACAATGAACACATAACGATACATATAGGAATTCACATAACAATTCATCAAGAAATATATTTTTCAACTGTTTTTTCGGGAACGGTTGCGCACACTGTTGCAATTGCACACTGCCAATCACAGTGACTTTCATCTAGGAAGTTTCGTTTATTTTTTTCTAGGACTGTGATTGGCTGGTGTTCAATTGAACATAACCGATATATACTCATTTTTTCTACACCTTGTACAGGCTGTCCCATTTTAAATAATGTATTAAGATTTCTCAAAAACTGTGGTAGATACGAAAAATGCTTCAAACAAAAGTTGTATGATTCAATGGGGAACATCCTGTGTATCTAATTTCTCTTTAGTAATAATTACCGCCAAAAATTGTTTCGCTTTTGCAATGGTATTTTTTGCCCATTCGGCGTTCTCCCGCGGAAAGAAATCTTCATCTATTAATTTCATAATAGCAGCTAACGTTATCTGTGAGTTCCCAGTGAGTAAATTGTAAATTTCTCCACTCGCACTAGAGACATACTGCAAAGTAAATGTGTTTTTTTTTTAATGATGAGAGTCAAGGCACATGACTGAAATGTCATAAAAAATTTACGGAATATGGAATTTAAATATTGCTAAAATTTGCGCATAAATTCTATTGTCTTGATGTATGTATAAATACATATGCGTGCACGTACACGCAAAATGTAATTCTTACTTTTCGATTTGTTATGTTCAACTTGAAATTAATATCTTCGCAACTCATACAATATCTCCACAGTTTGAAACTATATTCAGAACCTGGTATTTTTATCTGTAATATATACAAATATAGTAATTTCCTGCATATACAAATTTTTTAATTTATTAGAAATTTAAGAACGGAATTTCTAAATATTAAAATAAATCAACTTTTATAAGAAAGAGAAAAGAAGAAATTTTAAAATTAAGAGAAAAAAATGAAGAAATCTAATAAACTCTTTACTACTTTAGATGCAAAATTAAAGAATGTGAGATTTTACCTTTGTTGCAGAACCCGTTAGTTCTCTAAAATGTTGCACTGCTCTCATTAATGTAGCTCGCATGGTATTATTCATTTTGCTTGCTCTTAAATCACCAGAACTCTCTTGATAGAATACTTTTAAATTCTTTAAATTGACCGGCTCATCTAGCTTTAATTTAGTCACGTTAGGACCGACCAGTATCTTCAAAAAGGGTATCAGATCCTCAGCCTTTCTACAGAGCGGTCCAACTGTACACATAGTGTCTGGATAGTCTTTTTCACGCAATCCAATTCCAGCCATTGGAGTCAATCCTAATAATATCAATAATCACATTACTATTATTATTATTATCATTATTAAGTATGAGTAAAGGGGACGTTAATTTTATACTAATAAATGTGATAGCATTAAATATAAAATCTATTGCCTTTGATAACGATTTCTTTCACGTTCCCAATGTTTCCCTTACGATAAGCGATCATCATTTGATTTCGTTTAAATAGCCTTTTAATATGATACATTAATTGGACGCACTGTGTATTAGCACAGTATGTATTAGTGCATATTAAAACCGTTGTACACTAATATCTATGTAGAAGTAAAATGTAAATATTACGGATTATATCAAATTTTACTCAACAGCACAGCAAAATGTATTAAGGATTTCATGGTTTAATCCGTTTTTGATATTTATATTAAATACATATTTTTATATCAATTTGTATACGATGGCTTTAATGTGCATTGAGTGCGCACTGAGTGCATTCAATCAAATTTGCTATTAGATATATCACATACACTCATTTATATTTTTTCTCAAAATTAAATGGATGGAACATAATATATCAATTTGCAATTACAGTAATAATTATAGTAGTAATCATAATATCATTAGTAAGATTGACCTTCACTGGGTTTATAGCCAAATAATCCATTAAAGAACGCGGGCATTCTTGTTGAGCCTCCTATATCACTAGTAAGGGAGAATGGAGCACCACTCGCTGATACAATAGCCGCATCTCCTCCGCTACTGCCTCCGACAGTTCTAGTGGTGTTGTAAGGATTATTTGTCTGTCCATATACATTATTTCTTGATTCAGTCCATAAAAGGAGTTCAGGAATATTAGTCGTAGCAATTAAAATCCCACCGGCCTCTTTGAAGAAACGAACTGTTGTGGCATCTTCTTCTGTACGATGATTACGACGACTAAGTAGACCCATTGAATGAATTAAACCTAATAGGATAATTATTAATAACGAGAATATGATTAATTAATATTAATTTCATTATTACTTAGGACAGTAAAAGTTTCTCTATTCTATAATGCATTTTTTTCTAAAAATCCAGACAAATATTATTTGGTAAGAAAAACATAAAATGATTTTAAAATTAGTTTAACTTTGTCAAGATTATATCAATCATTTTCATTTTTTATTAAAGTTCTCCAGCTTAAAAAAGTGAAGAGGAATTATGTGACTTTTCTTATCTTAACACGAGAGCACAAAGGCTGCAAAATGACATTGCTATATTCGGAATCATGTTCATTTCTTTCTATCACGCAGAAGTTAGCAACCTCTCTACATAGAAGTTTGTGATTATATCATAAATTCACATATGTTACTTAATTATTGTTCATAAAAAGTTTAAGATCTTAATATCAAATTCTAAATATTTTATATATATTAAATGCACGACAATAGAATATCCATTTGAGACAGAAACAAATAAAGTAATATATTTTGTTGTGATATTACAAATCATTAAATCAAAATCATATTTAAATAAAGCTAAATAAAATTAATAAAATAAAAATATTTATATTCATCTTTAGATACTTATCAAACTCGTGAAATTGAAAATTTATTAAAGTTTCAATTAAAACTTGTCAACCGAATAGTTTTTTTAAAATAAAATCTTGAACTAAAAATTCTGAATATTTTGATACTGCTACATATATATGTCTTATATACCTTTAACCCGATTGCTTTCCTTTGTGGTAAACGGTACTCCTAAGAATGGCTGCGTTATTCTTATTTTCTCCAAATCCACGCCTTTTTCTATCATGGCATCCACTGCTTTCGCCTCTTCAATTGCATCTAAGTATCTACATTCCACGACTGCATTTATCAAATCGTTTACTTCCTTGCATCTTTCAATATAAGCTTTTACAATCTCTTCTGATGTAACCTTTTTTGTTCTAGAACAATGTATAAATATAAGCATATATTCTTTTGTTGTACAATATGTATTTAAATTTAACTAGCACAT